TTGTATCCTTTGTTTCTTGTAGTAACTTGATGTTCAAATTTGTTTCAGGCTGATGCTGGTGGTTCTCCTTCCCTAGTAGCTAGGGGTCTTGGTGCCACACAGACTACTGGTGCTGTTGATCAAATTGAGATACAAGTTCCAAATGAGAAGGTTTCCTTATTTCCCCTATGTTTACCTGAATGCATTGGTTAAAAGATGCATTAGTCTTCACTATGATGTATGTTACCTTACCTGTTTCAGGTTGGTTTAATCATTGGTAGAGGCGGGGAAACCATAAAAGGACTGCAGACAAGGTCAGGGGCTCGAATTCAGGTAGTTGATGTTTATTTGTCCCAGCCACGGTTGAAGTTCTTGCAAAACTGAACCCGCCAATGCTGACAATTTAATAATTTTTTAGTTGATACCTCAACATCTCCCAGAAGGGGATGGATCAAAAGAAAGGACAGTGAGGGTAACTGGGGATAAGAAGCAAATTGAGATTGCCAGAGAAATGATAAAAGACGTTATGAATCAGGTTTGCTTTTTTATTTCCTTGCATCTTTTTCTTTATAATTTATTTTCTATTGGTATTTTGACAGGCATCATGTGTATCTTCTTTGAATATTGTCACCAGAGCTAAGGTATCTACTTTGATGAAAGAGTCTTTGTTATTGAATTACCAGCAATGAACTTGTGGTAAAAATTTGTGATATTTGATCTCTTAATCCATTCATTTGATGAGTTCTGTTTTGGAACGTCTGATTTTAATTGTATCTTTGTGCTGGTGGCAAAAAAACATTTAAGATATGTTTGAGGCTAGTTAACATGTCATGAGCAAAATATTATTGTTTGTGTAGTTCTGGATTTCTGTTGCCTGCTTTCCTGGTAGATTTGGCAGATAGGAATTAGGGGAGTCAGGAGTGGGAATTAATATGAATTTACGCGACCTTTGATCTCGCAATTCAATCATTTGTTGAGTTTTGCTTTGGAACATCCTATATGAATTATATTTTTGTGCTAATGGCTTAAAAACATCTAAGATATGGCTGGGCAGTTATGAATACGTCACGGGCAAGATGTTATTTCTTGAGTAGGTTGAATATCTCTTCCATTGGTTTCCTTGTAGTTTTAATACAGTGGAATTATTGGCGTTGCATGGGTTGTTATCTTGAGGTTTGCTTCTTGTGTTTGTAAATATCTTACTTTCAGCATGTGCTAGAAACATTTGATAGGATCACAGGTATTCCAATTAAATGACATTGTTTCAAGAACATATGCATGTGGATTTGGATGTGTGAACTTGTTCCTTCTCTTCGCAAATAAAATATGCTCTTTATGAGATATGGTTTTAGAAGAGGATTACATACATTGGTAGTGAAGTTTTTAAACTCCTGAACCAGGGCTAGAATGTTGTCACACATCTATTTAGTTATTATAAGAATTAATTTTTTTGAATATATCCTAATAGGACATATGGCAACCCTCTAACCTTGCTTGCGGCTGTTTTAATCTTCACCACTGGTGTAGATGTTTTTCCTTTTAGCAAATATCAAAATAACAAGTCTCATATGGTATATAATTGAGTGGGTACAAATCTATATCCTTCAATGGATTTGCCAGAGCAAACAATCAGTTATAGTGAACTGCATTTTCTTCTATGAGACATTGCCATCGGACTTGATGAGGGCTTTCTTACTGGGAGTGAAATTTTTCCTGAACAAAGAATGAATTATCCTGGCCAACATCACATTGAATGCTATTAGGACGATAATTTATGCAATCCAAGATGTCGGTTCCCATGCTTTATTTATGTTGAAGGTGCCAATTTCGAACTCGTTGGCTTTAAAATCTGCACGGGTACCTATTCCATGGGGTCAGCATTGCTTTCTTGGTGTAGCAATAGACAACACTATTCCCCTTCATCCACTGAAGAGAGGTATCTGGCATTAAACTGATATTGCAAGATGTTAATAGTTGGTAAGATTGCTTTGAGACTTGAAAATTAAAAATAAATAATGTAGTGAGACTGCATGAGAGGCCTCCATGTTCTATGCTTGAGATGTGTTGGAAGTACACCTGGTGAAGTCATCATGTCTGAAATGTATATTGGATCAGTACCACCTTGAATGTTGTTTGATACCATGTTTAAAATATGATACCTTGTCCTCCTATGTAATAAAATTTATTGCTATTGTAAGATCAGAAAAAGAATTGACATCGTTTTATGTATGTTATAGTGCTACATAGGGGTGAGCGTTCGATCGAGTCGAGTAAAAAAATTTCGAGTTATTTGAGTTGACAAGTCCTATTTTACAACTCGGATTTGACTTGAATTTTTTTTTGAGTCGAGTCGAGTCAATTTTTCGAGTTTCTGTTTAAATTTAATTGTGAATATTTATAATATTATAATATTGTTTGGTTCTAATTTAAGTGACTTTCTATAACCATATATACAATACAAATATGTTTCTTCTTATTTTTTCATATATGATATACACATATCATACAAAGACTCTACTCAAACTTGAAAACAAATCCACTAATTATTAAAATTTTTGAGTTATTTTGAGTTGTATTTTATAACTCGATTTGAACTTAATTTTTTTTTTTCTAGTTGAGTCGAGTTTATGAAATTGTAACTCTAAGTTAATTAGAGTCGAGTATTTTCGAGTCGAATCGAGTTGAAAAAAATCAATTTTTCGAGTTGAGTTTAGTTTTGCTCACCCCTAGTGCAACATCACTTGGATGACATGATCTTATGTGAAAGTCTTCACATATCCTAGTAGTTCAAGATGCCCGAAAGATATGAGGTTCAAGTCGATCTTGGTCAACTCTCATGAAATCTCTTGTTCTTGTACTTAACCGTTAGTTTAACATTTAAGATTTTCACTATAGTCTTTGATTATTGGTAGCCCTGATAATTTTTTGGCCCTCTGCTTCGGAGGGTAATACAGGTTGGTGAGATTTGTCCACTTAGAAATTTAGTATTTCAAATAGGTGATGATATTTACTTCCTCTTATTTCCTTGCTTCATAAAAAGTTTGATTAAAGATGTGGTTTGACAGACACCTCATTGCTTTTTCATATTTCTCATTTTTGTTTAAATTAGTTGTTTCATCATTGTTGCTGTTTGATACATACTTCCTGTTTTAACAAAGCAGTGACCTAGTATCCTGCTTATCTTGTTAACATGATTAAACATGATATTGGTACTTGACTTCTACTTGGATCCCTTCCCCCCCGATATTGGTGAATGAAATTCCTTATCTAACTTATTATTTTGATTAATGAATAGACTGTCAGGCCATCATCTCTTTCTGGTGGTTTCAATCAGCAGGGCTATCAACCTCGGGGAACTGGTGGTCCACCGAAGTGGGGTCCCTGTGGCCATCCTTCACAAACAGGGTCATATGATTATCAACAACGGGGACCATATCCATCTCAAAACTCTCATTACCAACCTCCTTATGGTGGCTACCCTTCTCACCAAATGGTTCCAAGGAGCAACTTTGGTCCTGGTTGGGAGCAGAGGCCTCATAATACGCAGGGACCTTCACAGAGTGGAGGTTATGATTACTACAGCAGGCAAGTACCTGGCCCCTCACCTGCTCCAGCTATGGGGCCAGCTCCGTCTCAGTCAAATTATAATTATGGACGGCCTTGTGGTCCGGCAGATTATGCCCATCCACCATCCTATTCCCAAGCTGCTCCACAGCATGGCTACGGACATGGATATGAAGAAAAGCATGAAAGTCACACCCCTGTTCAGCATCCTTATGGAGGGCATGGGTCTACTCAGCCAGGATATGCGCAGTCAGGTCATCAACCTGGGTATGCTCCTCAGCAGCAATATGGAAAGCCACCGTCATATGCAATGCAATCACAAGGACCCCAATCATATGGTCCTCCAACCAATCAACCTGTAGATGTACCATATCAAGGTCCAACTGCACAGTCATATGGTCCGAATTTGCCTCCACAGCAGCAGTACCCATATGCAGCAAGTGGGCCCACACAACAAAGCTATCCTCCATATGGCGCTGCACCACCTAGTGATGGATATAGTCAGGCTACACCTGTGACTGACCAAGCTTATCAGCAGCAAGGTACCCAGCCTGTTGCTGGTTACAGTCAGCCAACTGCTTATGCTCAAGCAAGTACTGCCGGGTATGGTCAATACCCACCATCACAAGGTTACTCTGAACAGCAACAAATTCCAAACAATGCAGGTTATGGCTATCAAGGGGCTCAGGATTCTGGTTACGGTAGTGGTGCTGCGGCAAACATATGGTGCACTGCCAACCAGTGGCCAACCCGCTTATTCTCAAACAACAGCAGCTCAGCCTACCTATGATCAGTCTGTTCCTCAATCTGGTGGTTATGCAGCAGCAGCAGCAACAGCATCTGGTACTGCACCTGCTGGGTATGGAAAAACAGTATCGCCCCAGCCTGGATATCCGCAGTATGATTCTACCCAGATGTATGCCACACCACGTTGACATGGAAGTCTTCCTGTATTTGGTGTGTTGGTTAATGTAGTCATGTACCGAACAACTTCTAGATGGCAGTATCATCTTTGGTATTTTTGTTTTTAACTTCCGGTGGTAGTAATTTCTTATATATCTTTAGTTCTGTTCTCCTGTCCTCCGGATAATATTTTAACTAAATGGGAGGTAGCTCTGTTAATGATATTGTTCATTTCTTTAATGGCCTGGACTTTTTTTATCCCTACCGTCTTTGTAATATTTTGTTTAAAGTAATATATATTTATAAGGTTTCGATCAATAAATCAATTTATATTATATATAACTATTGCCACATTTAGCTATTATCTTTTTTGGACGAAATCTTTCATTGTTTGCTTGCTGGTCAGCCCTGCACGGAAGTGGATACACCCACAGGTTGAACTATTCATCCAAATCTATAAGTTTGTTACTATTACAAAACGTTTAAAGGAAAATATTAAACGGATTTGAGTTTGTACGAAGATGGTATGTCGATGCCCATGCCAAATTTTCACACAAGTAGCCCAAATTCTATTCCCTACCCATTTCAAAAACAAATTAAGGTCCACTGCGGTGCACTCTTTTGATAGCCATTTCACACAAGATAGAGATAATACAGTGTCTTATAAGGTCCGCTATGGTGCACTCTTTTGATAGTCATTTCGCAAAAGATAGAGATAATACAGTGTCTTATAAGGTATGTATAATTCTTCCTTCCGGAAAATCAAACACACCATCTCAGCCTCATCGTGTATCATCCTATCAAGAAAATTTGATGTTAAAACCATAACCCAAACAACTGAAAATAGAAGATGATATATACATTATGTAGAAAGGCGCACAAAAGCTTTCTTGTATTCCTGTTGATCAAGTAAATCAGGAAGGGAGAGAGAACAACTACCTTGCATATTCCATCCTTAAATATTCTGAAGCGTGAAAAAAATAACTCATTTAGCTCTATCAAATTGTTTGTCAACTCTCTTCATCCACAATAATAGTGGACTCGTTGCCAATCCCTATGTCCATTAAAGACGACATTTCATCATCAAGCAACATCGGTAAAGGAGAACCCTGCAAATTTGAACGGAAATCACAAATGATATTCAACACTTTTTCTTTTGGCACAGTACAGATCCTGGTATTGTCCTCGTTTTGTAAAGATTTTTACAGATTTTGGTCCACTAATGCAGGTATATAATTTCTACTACTAGAAAAGATAACAAGTTAGGACAAGGAAGAATAAAAAAGAAAACATCATCACAAATCCGTTAGAAGATAAACCTCTTCTTGAAGAAACAATTTCAGCTTCAAGGACTTTAGTTTAAAAAAGTTTTCACAAAGGGCCTTCAGTTTTCCAACCTAAAATAGAGAAAACTAATTTTGAGTGAATCTTCACATGCATATCCAACTAAAAATGCTTGGAGGAAATGGTGAAGAATATAACTGTTGTAGTAGCTGGCAATTTCTTTGTCAATGGAAGCTTCTCACCAACAGATGGAGCCACACATTTCAGGGTGATTGCTGCACGTTATATACACAGTTGAAAACTATTAAGTGCATGAAGAGAAGTTAACAAAAAGAAGAAGGATAAATCTATGGTTCATACATAAGAGTCCCGACGCCATCTTCTGAGGACCGGCTACTCCCACTGATGGCCTTTCATCCTCAATCCCATAAAAATTCTTCAACTCAACTAACCTGGATTTGGAGATTAAGTTCAGAAATAGCAGTAAATATTTCAGTTATGCACATAGTCCATAGAAGGAAATTTACCGGGGATGAAGCCGGTTGATCTCTTCTGGATTATCAAGCAATTTTGACATTACTAAGCGCACATATCTGCAAGAAATATTGAATATTAATTAGAAGATAATACAGATCAATATGAATGTTAATTTCTCTCTTGGTATAGGATACCATTATGATAGTGGCTCACTGGTTTTCATCTGGGGATGGTGGCAATAGAGGATAACAATGAATTTAAATTTAAACCCCCAGTACTTAAATGTGTTGATCATTTTTCATGCAACTATTTCAAAAGAAGGTTACCAGACATAATAAAATATCATCATCCATCTATCATTTATTAAAATTACAGTTTGAAGACAAACAGTAATCAGAGACTAATATGATTTACTAAAACATTTCCCTGCCATGAAAGACAAGTGAATTAAATGTTTTCACAGAAGAAGTGTGCTCCCAGAAGATTAGAAGATATTCGCTAATATCAATAATTTCTCAAGATATATCTGACTAGGAACTAATTTTAGTATGAACTGCTAACTTAAACAAGTTGGACCATATCAGACAGGCATCATGTGCTTCACAATATTAATGACTGCTATTATGCCCTACTCCCTAAAATCGGAGGTTTGAGGAAGAAAGCAGAAAACAAAACAAATAATGTTAAAATATATCAAGAATAGGTGAGACCAAACAAAGAAAATGAAACAAAAGCCAGGGCATGGTTTCATTTCAGAAAAGAGTAACCAACTATTTTTCAAAGAAACAAATACCGGATTTCTGATTCCTTCCTTTCTCGAGCACTTATCTGAAAGATTGTTGGATAAGAATACATTAAATTCATTAGAACCGCACAAAAGAAAGGAAACAAGGCAGACCTTTTATGCAGTATCTAGAGTTTACCTCACTCCCATTTAGCATTTCAACTTTTGCTAATCGTGCAATTAAAGCAAATCTTGGGAGACCACCTCTTCCAGGATCAGCTATCGGATTATCAGAAAGCCTGATGTCCTTAGGGTAATAAAATAAAAATAAGAAAAGAAGCTAAACATTTGAGATGCAGCAAAGAGAAAAAGAACAAAAATCATTCCAACAGCAAGAATCTAGGATTAGAGCCTACTAATCTTGCCAATTTAGCCAAGATGGTAACTTTCTCCCTACACTCAATGTCTAGTTTAGTGTGTATGATTATCATAAAACTTAGTTGATCAGATAGATAAACAAAAAAATTATAAATTCACTGCAGCATGTCATTATATACGTTTGAAATTATGTGCAACCAGTGATGCTTGCATATATAATGTAGCAAATATTAGATTTTACCCCCACAGAATTAAAGTAGCAGCATGTTCCACACTCCAAAGCTACTATCATGCACATTGAGAAGATGTTTAAGATGAAGAACCCTTACAATCAGTTTTGGGAATGAGTTCAGTGAGTCAATTGAAGCCAGATCGCTAATTTCATTACTTCCTGAAGCATAAAAGAATTAGACAGTAGATTAACAGGGGAAACAGGCCAATTGAAATGTAGAATAGAGAACAATTAAATTACCAAGAAGAAGGCACCGCAGATTTTGAAACAACAAATAGTTTTCCTCACATGACTCCTGATTACCAAACAATTCTTGTATCTTATTCTTATCTGGGTAAAAGATGCTGTTCAACTTGTTCTTGTTCAAATAAAGCTGCTCCAAACTGAGACAGAATTACAGAGAGTTATGAGCTATCAAGAGAATTCAGCTACTAGAAAACATGGGAACACCATCCTGGAAAGGAGCACAAACTTCATTCTGACCTTTTCAGTTGAGAAAGTTTCAAGATTTCATTCCATTCAGTTAAGCAATTATCTTCCAAATTCAAAAGCCGCAAAGAAGCAAATCCCTGAACGGTGGAGGATGATGTTGGCTGGCAACAAAAGGTGGAATACGAAGCAGAGGCATGCATCAGAGAGTTGGTAAATTTAATGTTTGAAATAGTAAATACCAAAAGAACATTTTTATTCTTTGCGAGCTGTGCAATAGCTGTATAATATTCCTCTAATTTTAGTATTTTACCCTTGATTGTTCATACTAGTTCAACTTGTTCGCCACAGTTTTCCATGCATCCCACAGAATCACTGTACAATAATCTTTGAAATAAATTTTTGCTGCTGCTACTACCCATTCAACCCAGCATTTCTTCAATCCAAAGCTTCAGTTAATAACTTAGATAGTCCATTTTTTTGTTCATTGTTTTACATTTGGATTTCTGCTAACCAGATCAAATTCTTGTCCAAACAATTCACAGTATAAGGTAACAGATTTCCTCTTATATCTATTAACCAACTAAATCCAAAGTTGGAACCACCTATCTTTCCCTCTACTTTGCAGAAGTAACAGAGTCAAAGAAGAAAATACTTTTAATTCACTAGTAATCAAAAGAAAAGTGAGCAAATAATTAATCCTCTTCAGAAAAGAAAATACTTTTAATATATGCATGTGTGTGTATCGATTTTTCTCCCTTTTCCATTAATGCTACAGAGCAAAATTTCCTTCATGTCCTTAATAACGCATGCAAGATTGCTTTCCACATTGTCCATGCCACAGGGTAATCATATCTCAATATGCACTTCCCATGAAAATAATGGCTCAAATCGGTTATAAACAAATGTTAAAGGTCTCATTTTATTGCAATAAGAATATGAGGGCTAATCTGGGAAAATTAATGACTTATTTTCTGTTTTAGTCTAACACCGGTATAAAAGTCCTTAAAGAATTGAAAAACAGCTAGAGTGATAGTAGTTTCTAGACATAATTTGATTGAAGTTTCAAGCAACTAAAAGTAAGTGATACCTCTATGGAACTTATCTTATTCCCCATCAGGTGTAATTCCTCAATCACTGGTAATGAATGTTCAAGGATTTCAACCTGCCATGTCAAAAAGATACCAAATATAGTCTTCAGTTAATGGGATTTAGAGCTACAAAATCCTTTCTCTCAAATATTCTCATTCCCATGTAAATCTTAATCAAACATGATACCATTTCAAAAACAGTTCCACTACCACTCATTACTTTTATAAAGCACATCTCTTCATATAGCTTGCAAAAGCTTCTATGAATGAAGGAAAATAGTGCACCTGTGACCAGTTTATGCCTGTACTGTTCAAAACTAAAACACGGATGCCTTCTAGTAGGGGAACCCAATCATGTTCTGTGTCATTAAATTATTAGACAAATTGAGTGCTACAAGATGCTGTAACTGTTCACATATGGTGCCAACATCCTGCATTAAAAGATTGATTCAAACAGATATAAGTTCAGAAAAAGAGCATGGTCATGACAAACCAAGCAGTAATTGACTGGTAAGGCAGTTCCAAAATCAAAAGCAAGTAAATATAACCAGTCTCTTAAAGGTTAAGGCAGAACAATTGCATACATCATATTACAGTAGGAAATGAGAAGATATTCACAGGAAGGAAAAACAAGGAGTTAATCTTAGCCTTTGATTTCCCCTCATCCAACGATCCTAAAAAAGTGTAAAACTAAAAGTTTTACACTTGGTGTAAGTGGATATATATATATATATACACACACTAAAGAATCTAAAAAGGGAACCTAGAATACCTTAAAGACTAAAATATTAATTTCAAAACGTGGGGAAAAGTAGAGCAAAGAAGGCATTTACCAAAACCACCACATCCCACAACCTGACTCCACTTTTAAGGAGAAGAAGAAGGGGAAGAGAAAACCTTCCCATTCAAAGCGGATTGGTGTGAAATCTCTAGAATGTATCAGGTGTTTTCATTTCAGATGGAAAAGATGATAATTTTATCAACACAAAAGGACTGGAAAAAGGCACAATTTGTTGCATAAGACATACTCTAATCACTATTAACTCTGAAACATATAAAACAAGCAATGTATGGTGAAAATGTTTCTTAAATTCCATTTATTTACATCCAAACATCATCTCAATTAATTCAACTACAATTTTATCTAAAATGGATCATGAATGAGTAAATCCAGAAAGAGCAGTTAAGATCCTAAGACAACAAATAAAATAAATATCAGCCAGAAAGTGTCTAGAACTCATCCTCTACAATGCAAACAGTAGAGGATAACATGAATAGAGAAAGCAGTATATGCTATGTCAAGTGTTCAATTAAAGAACAACTTTGTTGAAAGTAGCACTAACTAGGACATGTACCTTCCAATCAGAAATCAAATTTCCCGTCAAGTCCAGCTCCCTTAAATCTGCAACAAGAACATGACAAATAGTAAGAACTAAGAAAAGTAAGTAATAAATACAGTTGTACTAGCAACATATTCAGAAAAATGCAACAAATATATACCACAACAATATATTTAAAGGAGCATCATATCTAAAAATCAGATAAAGAATGTAACGTCGCTAAGCAATATATCTTAAAACAATGAAGCTTAGCTTTCTGCCTTTCTAACATGCTCAAGCCAGCAGAGAAAACATCATAAAACTACTTCCACATGAAATGCCGCAACCAGCTGAATCATCACGCTTATGCTCAAAAAAATTTCTTTCTATGGTGCAAATGTTATTTAAGCTTATGAAACGTGTACAAAAGTAGCCTTGTTTGTTACTTCTAATATATGCCAAAAGTAAATTCAAAAACATATGCTAAAATTCAGAAGGAAAACAAATAAGTAAGAAAATATAAGCTTGATTTATCTTTTTTATCATGCAGACATGCATTGCGACACAAATCACAATATCATTTAGCATTTTACAAATCAGTGGTTCTCATAATCTTAGGAGCATCCAAGGTTTTTTCTTTTCTCCCCTTCAATTCTTTTTTGCAAACAAAGTTTTAGTTACAAAAATGACATAACATCAAGAGAAAATCGAAAGCAGCAAGAAGCTAACCTAGAAAACTATAAAAATGAAACTAAAATGATCAGTAACCTAAAAGTAAATTCAAGAAAGATGCTCTTTAATTTTATAATACGATACTCATCTTTTGCATCTGCAAAAGGAATTAAATCCTCAACAAGGCCTCTTCTTAGCTTAATTATGGTAGGAAAAACCACACAAAGGAATGAAGCAACAAAATTCAAAACTCACTCTCAGGATTTATGCAAATGGAAAAGGCTAAAAAAATAAAGAATTCTCTGAGCACTCAAGTTAAAACTTAGAATGTCTATTAATTAGATTCTAATAGGCAAATAGGAAAGAGCAAATCACTTGGCACAGAAGCACGTATTTCAGCCGGCTCTCCAGGAGTGCTGACACCCAAATAGGATATTGAAGCACTATTCAGCTCTTTAAATCGACTTAGCTTATCTTGGATCTTGTCTTTACCCAAAAGTTCAACTGACACGCGCTGGTTGCTAGCTGAAAGCACATACATTTCATCTACAAAAGCAAAATTTCCTTTCTTTTTAAGTTCACATATTACCAGTAGAAAAGCTGAAAAGGCAATCATAAATGACTAAAACAAACAGATGATAGGAAGCTAACAGCAGATACAGGTCCAAAAAGTAAAATCTCATATACAAATTTGTTTTGCTGTTGTTTTGTACTCTCAAATCAATGAGGTAAGTGAATGAGTTAGCTTAAACCCTTACCCTCTTCTTGTTTGGTGGATTGGGATTGATATCTGAGCTTAAGAGCTTGAAGGAGTGAAATGCCAGGGCTAAGGTTATGGGGTCTCACGAATGAAGCTGAGTTTTGGGATCGAGCTTGGAAGTATCGGACTCCATTGATGGAGCCATCATGTTTGCCATCTCCTTCATTGTCCCATTCCACCCCGACCCAAGTTCCAGAGTAGCCTTCTACGTTGCCGACGAATTTGACAGTACCCACTCGGCGTGGATCGGCGGATGAGTGGACGCGTTGTCCAAGCGTGAATAACGAGCTTTGCTCCATTTTTGATAGCTAATAGAGTAACTGGGGAATTTGCATTTCGATCTGAAGAGGCTGGAAGAAAATGGGAGAAGGGAATAAGTAAAGGGTAAACTGCACGGATCATCACTCAACTATGGTAAAAAATCATTTTGACAACTGATATTTTAATTTGATCAAATAGACTACCCAATTATTTAAATTATTCAATCTAGTCACTCTCTGTTAAAATTTAATGGAGATAATGATGTGTCAGTTAAATATTTCGGAATAATTATACGCTTGGTACCTTTTACTTGCACAAAATGATAATTTAATCTTAATTTTAATTAAATACAATAAATTTAATCATCTAATTAAATTGTAACATGTGTTAATCTATAATTGAATGATTGAATTTATTTACAACTTATTTAATTCATTAAATTTATTTTCTTCCACTCAAAGGGTGACACGTGTCACTTTAGGTTTGTAAGAAAAATTTAAGAAATTGGGTGTTATGAGAAATCAAACCAAGGACACCTGATTTAACAAGCCAACAAGCAACCACAGAGCCAAGGGTAATCAATTGTTTAAGTTTAACAACAAATAATATATACCTTGTATACTTATTGTTTAAAATTTATATTCAAATAATATACTTAAAAGTATATTTTATTTTAAAGTAGTAGTATATTTATACTTAAAAAATATTTTATTCTTTTATTAATTTGAATATATATTAATAACACAATATATTTTCTAAATTAATAAAAGAATAATAAAAATTTTATTTAAAATAAAATATATTTTAAGTTAAAATAAAAATAAAATATATTTAATAATTTCAATAAAAAAATAAAATATATATTTTATTCTTTTATGTTCCAACTTTAAAAATATATATTTTATTTTTATTTTAACTTAAAATATATTTTTATTCTTTTATTAATTAGAAATATATTTTCTTATTAATATAACTTATTAAATATATTTTATATTTATTTTAACTTAAAATATATTTATTCTTTTATTAATTTAAAATATATTTTGTTATTAATATATATTCAAATTAATAAAAGAATAAAATATATATTGTATTTTTTATTCAACTTATTAAATAGATATGTCTTCTGATAATTTTCATCTATTTTTATTTTATATATATTATTTGTTGTTAAACTTAAGTAATTAATTGAGTATCCTTGGCTCAGTGGCTGCTTGTTGGCAACTTCTGATTAGAAGAAAATATATTAATGTAATTAAATAAATTTAATTATCTAATTACAGATTGACACATGTCACAATCTAATTAGATGATTAAATTTATTGTATTTAATTAAAATTAAGATTAAAATATTTAGATGATTTTTAATTATAGTTGAGTGGTCATCCGTGTTGTTTACCTATAAGTAATATACTTTCAATTTAGGGTATGTTTGTTTCATGTAAAATATTTTTCGGAAAACGTTTTCCTTATTTTCCAGTGTTTGGTTGGAGAAAAATTGGTTGGTCAACGTAAAATATTTTTCTGGTCAACAAATTTTACTTTATGTTTTCTAGAAAATGACTTACGGTCTGATTTTCTGTAAGTCATTTTCTGAACTTTTCACTTTAAAGAATAAATACTCAAAGTAATTTTATTTTATGAATTTAATATTAATAAATATTTTAAAATAATTTTAATCAAAATATTAATTATTAGAATATTTAAAAATATATTTATTAATATTTCTAATCATATAATATTATATTTTTAATATTATAATCAAATACTCAATTATTATAAGATATTATATTATTATTTTAATAATATATACTAAATTATTAATAAAATTTATATTATTTATTAATTTCATAGAAATAATATTATTAAATTACTAATAATAAATAATATCATTTATTTATTTAATATTAATATAATAATATTTTAATAAAGATATTAAAAATATATTAACTAATATTTTTAAAATATAATATAATAATATTAGTTTAATAAATAATTAATATAATTTATAATATTTTATTTCAATAAAATGTACTAAAATTAATATTTTTATTAATAAAATCATATTTAATAATAAAAAAATAAATTATTCTAATATTTTAAAAATAATAATATTAAGTTTTATGATAAATAATATTATTTATTGTATTTAATATTTGTAATAAACAATTTTTAAAAATTTCATCAACTAATGGAAAATGATTTACGTGATCTCTTCCAAACACCGTAAAACGTTTTCTAGAAAAAACAACAACAACAACAACAACAAAACCCAATTCCCATATGTATGAGGTAAGGGGGAGGTAGGGTAGTAGGCTGCTCCCAACGCCAGGTTGAGAGTAGCTTCCGTGGAAGACCTCCGGCAGTCAGAAAATTAAAAATATAGATAAAATGCAGTGCATATATAAATAAATACATAGCTAAACAATATTCATATGCAGTCATTAAAATCATATGTGCGTCTGTAACGGGAATTAATCCCTGCGAAAGAATCTCTGCATATAGACAGAAACATAAGACTCGGCTAAATTTAAAAGAGGAAACATGAAGAGAATGATACACAAAAGTCAACGATAGCAAGCGCAGTTCTAATCCTTCATAAATACCAATAACAGAAACATATAAAAAGTAGAAGTCATGGAAAATACTACAAAGACATTAAAAGAAGACAGAGATGATACACCCTATAGATGTGACCCACACTACTCGACTACCCTAGTCTTTAGCCTCCATATTTTCCTATCAGAGGTCATGTCTTCGGTAAGGGTTAAATCCCTCAAATCAGATCTCAAGCAGTCTTCCCACTTCCGCCTTGGTCGTCCTTTTCTTCTAGAAAACGTAATTCATTTTACGAAAAACATTTTCTGCAAAATGTTTCCAGTGAAACAAACAGACTCTTAATTATTTTGCATTTTCATCCTACTAATAATATTCGATTAATGAAAATTTTAAAATTAAATTATTTTTAATTTACGTTTGACTCATATTTTATATAAATTATTTGAAAATTTTATTTTAATTAAACCTTGATACTTATAAATATATTTTAATTATTAATTTAATTAGGTTTTGAAAGGATTAATTTTAAATTTAACCTATTTAGAAATGTAATGTTAAAATTATAATCTCGAAATATAGTTGAGTTTGATAAACTTCTTATTTAAGTTAATTTATATCTTCTTAATATTTTAAATCTGTATTATCAAGAAATGAATATCGTACATTATTTGTCATAATACATTTTAACAAAAAATATTCAAGTTAAATCTGAAACTTATACGTGAAATTTGATTAAATGTGTAATACGTTATATAAAGTTTAATTTAGTGTAATTATATACATATAACTTTAATCTTAGTTTAATTGTATACATTAAATTTTTATTTTTATTCAAATACCTCATTATTTTTCAATATCAACAAGATGACTCTCACATGGTGCATGTACTAGGCAACCTTATTTATATTGAAAGCAATGTTTAGTCTAGTGCGATTAGAAGTGAGTATTCGATTGAGTATAATTGAGTAAAAAATTGAATTAGTTGAGTTCACGAGTCATATTTTATAACTCAAACTTTATTTAAAATTTTCGATTCGAGTTTATGAATTCGAGTTGAGTTACTTGAGTTTCTATTTAAATTTAGTTGTAAATATATTTATAATATTTTGGTAATATTTTATTTCAATTTAAATGTAACCCCCCAGATCGATAAGGGTAACCAGATCCGATCCGGGAAGTCACATTAGGGTCACCGGAACAACCCACCGTAAAAATAGCGGAAAATTTAAAACTTTTTAACAGAACATGTAAACTTATAAAATCATGTATCAATATAAAAATAAAACAGATTTTCAGACTTGTTCATAAAACAAAATAGAATTACATGCCCCCTAATCACATTTACCGTACTCTGTAAACAACGCCGGAAGAACTCCCTTACTGATGTTGATAGATGCACTAGTACAATTCTTTTAACCTGAAAAGGTGAGTAATAGAGTGAGCTTTGGAAAGCTCAGTAATACAGAACTACTAGATGATGCTGATGAACGTGCAGATACTGATAAATATATATTTCCTTATTGTTTCCGAACATTTACAGATTTTTATGCTGAGCAGAGATCCTACCGATATTTCAGGCGGTAACGGACAATGAGTTTTCGCTTCAGAGAAATATTTCGGATGACTAAGTTCAGGAGATCAGAATAGGTTATCTAGTGTGTTCCCAAAAACCATGTAACTTTTCAGATCTTTTTAAAACATATATATATATATACCCCCATCCCAACACATCATAATGTGTAGGTTCCCCAGAACCATACACCCAACCCAACACATCATATAAAGCCCTGAGCACAAAGCCGAGAAACCTGCGGAAATTCTTCCTTCAACAATACCCCCCATTTAAAACATTTTTCCGTCATTAAACGGAGATATTAGAAATCAAAACAGAATTTAGAACAGAATCCAGATCAGAAATCAGAACAGAATTCAGGTCATGTATCAGAATAGAATTCAAGTCGGAAATCAAATAAAAATAATTATATAATTAGGGAACACACCAGAGTTTACAAATATTATTTAGAGGGACTGGATAATCTTATAAGGCAGAGAAACACGGATCTTCAGTATGCCGATAGAATGTTGGAATTTCGAATCACCATGGGAAGGGTTCATTAACTGACGAAATCACCATTTATTCAGAATGTGACTTGGCTGATAAGGAATAACTGAAGATTCAGGACATTTACAGTCTATGTCGATTGATTTCATTATCAAACAACTTCAGATGAATATCTCCCAAAATTAATACTTATCGACTGGTCAATTCGTTGTCTTTCCAGGGTATTTACACTTTAATACCAAAATTTCTTATCCATAGATCATCTTCGGAATCATCACTGAATAGATCTCCCAATGTCTTTATTTCATTTTCACGCTTTCACTATATCATGAAATGTTGACGTGCTTGATTTGTAGTTCATGATCCATAAGAACATTACATCATGTATGTTCATTAACATTTCCAGATTAATCCAACTCACTTATTCAATCCTCAGTCCTTGTGG